ATATAAAGCAACTGAAATTTTTTATCTCTTTCTTATCAATTTATTTATTTTTATTGCTCTGAATTTTTGGTTTTGTTTCTATTTCATACACTGCACATATACTAAGCTATCATTATATTTATAATCAATTGTTTCGTTATTATCGTTTGAAACTTAAGTATTAACTTCTGCAGTGTAATTGAAATGTTTATTTTTTATATTTTTGGGAAAAATACGCTTTGTATGTTATCATGATGCCTGTACTATATTTGTTGGACACATAATAAAAATATTGTAACAAATAAATTAATTGTGTGCATTTTACTCTTTATTCCAATATTTTTACAGCGTATAATAATCTCATAAAGTGATAATTTTTCCCAAATGAATATACTGTAAATCATGCTTACATTAATATACATTATTCTATATAATATCACTTTATTTGATGTTTTCTTTTTTCTTTTTTAAATAGGGGGACAAAGTTGAAATGAGCAATCTGTTGCTCTATGTAGAGGAAAATTTGATATTTTCACCGAAAAAATGTTATGAGAATGAAACCAACATATTTGACGAATCTAATAAAGAATCGACAAAAAAATCATTTGATACACCTTTAATATTGCCACAAAGTACTTTAGAAGATACATATTTTAAGTCTACACAAGAACCGATGGTATCTGAAAAAAAGGAACATTTACCAAGTGTTGATGAAGAAAATATACAACATGAAACACCTCAAAATAATTCAGTACCTATTGATAATACAGATACTTCTACCCAAAATTGCACTAACCCATTTTTACAAGATTCATTTATGTCTAATGTGGCAGGACTGAGTCCTAAAAAATTTATGCAATTATGGAATGAAAATTTACGATTACAACTGCAAATAACTACCACACTTAAAATGCTCTTTAGCACAGTATTGAATACTAGTGCGAAGAACGAAGACGAGAATATAAAAAAAGATGACAATGTAAATACGAATAATACATTCTTACATACCGTTAACGATATTTTATCAACAAACTGTACAGACATAAATATATCAAATACAGCTTCATCAAATGTAAATACCCATAATGAAAACATAAATGCAAATATTTATTCAAACTCTTGTCAGAATACTAATATTCAGAATGGAACCATCAGTACTAATAAAGAAGTGACAAAGAAACTAAGAGCTCCGCCGGGATATGAGAAATATAAAACCAAATTCATGTTTGACGAAGATTATGTTTCAAGTGATATGAATACTGATCTAACTACTTCAGATAATACAGTTTTGAGAGAAACTAATCCTTTTAAACTTAGTTTAGCAGGTAAAATGAAAATATCAGATTCTGAAGAAGACAACAATCGTAATGATTCTGTTTCTTTGTCATCTATGTTATATGAAAATCAGAAATTGATTTCTGACTATGACTTGCTTATACAACATTTTGTTCAAAGAAGCAACTCCAATATAAAAACTTCGACTCAACGAATTCCGGAGAATGTATGCAAACATGAATTATTTAACTCTTCCCAGCCTTATTTGAATAATACTGCAAACGACACGAATAATATTAAAAATGAATCATTTGTATCAAAATCTCTTCCATCGGATTATAATTGGAATATACAAGTAGATAATGTTACTAACGCAATGTCCGGAATGGTTATCAATAATCAAAGTATGCAACACGCTGCTCAGAAAGCAAAAGAAATAGAAAATCATACTGGACAATATTTACAGTCATTTTGTAAACCTGAAAGACAAGAATGTGTTATACAAGGAAAAGAGAATCTTGGTTTAGAATCTCGATTGTTATCTTTAAGAGAAACTCAAACTAAGAAGGCTACTACGAATTATAATTTGAATGAGCCTAGATTTTCTACTAAAATACCAACTAATAACTTAGGCTCCACCTCTTTGGGAACAAATAATACGAATTTTGACGAAGGATATTTCACTCGTCCGTCTACCTCTCACACTGTATATACTTCATCTCCTCGGCTACAAATACATAATAAAACAGAATGTTCCCAGCAGTTACTGAACGAAAATGCAAATAAAACTGCGGACATGTGGGTTCAATCGTTTCAAAACACTGTCCAATTAAAGAATTGGAATAAGATGGCCTTTCTACCTGAAAAAAGTGACCAAACAATGATCTATCCTAAAAATCAATTGAATCATAGTATGAAAAATTCAGATACAAGAGGTGCCACAGAATCTCTGGTTAATATTGATTGCACAAGCACACAGAGTTCATCTTCAAAAGGAAATCAATTAAAAAATACTGTAAAATATACGTCAGATTATGTAATATATTTTCAAGTGTTTGGTATGTTTTAATATAACTTATTGATTACTTTATAATATACTATTTTATTCTATAATAAATCATTGTCTTTTTGTAGAATTATCTACCAATCTAGTGCATATACTTCATTACCAAGGAGAAGGTTGGTTACTAACAGACGAATTTGTTAAAACGTTCACTAAACTTGAGTCAACTTCGTATGCTGTAATTTTTTTATATACACACAATATACATGTGCAGTATAAACAAATTGAGAGAACTAATCCTTTACAAAGGTTTATATATGTTGGCAGGTATATATTATGAATTTTTTTATTAAAAGTAATTTTATCTTTGTTGGACTATGCACGTAATAGAACTTTTTTATTTTTAGAATTTTATCGCAGACAACACAGGAAAGGATATATAATAAAAATAATATTCATTTGATACAATTAAAATCAGCAATAGACATATTAAACAAACTTAAAATTATTTCGATAAAAGATACTCGTAACGTTTTAGCAAGTGATTCTGTTTTTCAGGACATTTGGGTGAGTATTGTGACAATTTTATTATAATATACAATTAAAAAATCCATTAATTTTGATGTTGAAAATACAAATACAGCTTTTCTTTTCTAGCTGATTAACAATGCTTACACGCATCTCAAGTATTGCATTGAAAATGCAAAATATGTATGAAATAGAGCGCATATGTTCCTTGATACTATTTAGCTGACAATTGTTATTACCACTAATTCACGTTATTTTTATAATAGAAACTATTTATGTCTATACATTTTGTTAACGAGAAAAAAACGATTATTTTAGTTAACCTTATTATATGTTTAAGTATTACATATGTAAACATGAAGTATTATTATATTTTACATTACCTACTTTATATATTTAGAGAAAGCGAACGTAAAGTGATATTTTTATTTTTGATAACATAAAACACCACCCGGTTTTACAAATCAATTAAGTACTTACATTTTTGTTAACGAAACGACAAGATACTGTATTTGTAAAATTGTAATCTGACAAGTACATGCCTTACATTAATTTCAATTAAAAATTACAAAAATTTATTTTGCATACTTAATTTACACCACTCCAAGCCGCCACCACCACTTACTAAAATAATGTTAGAAACAAGTTACTTCTGTTATGATCCTTCCTCTTGGACGTCCGAAAACAGACTGACGCAGTGATGACTCAGATGACCGACGTGCTTCGGCGCGAAGCGGTTGATTTATATTGTTTACTTTCCTATTTAGTCTTCAATAATATTTAAATATTATGCTTATTATGACTGATTTTTATGAAAAATAAAATCGTATCTTTTCAGTTATGAGTGCAAGGCGTGGTAAAAGAGGGACTGACAAAAACAGACATGACTGTCATACCGACTTTATGGGGTGTGTAAAACCCCTCGAGAATAAAAGCATGTCCAGTCTTTTTGTGTCTGTAGTCACTGGTCGAATGTTGACAGTGCCCTCTACCACTAGGTCATTATATTTTAACGAATAAGACGTAGAAAGAAAGTATACGTCGAAAGGAGTAGATGTACGTTTGATAAGTGACACTTGTTCTAATTTAAAATATTATATTAAAAACGTTGATCATTATTGCATAAAAGACAATGGCAAGTGGAGATGGTTCAGAACCAAAATTAAGTGGATTTGCAAAATATTATAACAGTGTTACCCCACAAGGTCGAGCAAACGTAAGTAACCTCAAAATTTCGTTCTTCACTTTGATGGCATTGTGTTAACGTCTTCTTAACACGTTAAGTAGTGTTATACGATTCGATATTGTTTACATGAACCGATTGTTTTTACAGGTTGCTGCTTCAACAATTATTGCTATGGCTGCTACAGGTGCATATTTCTACTTCAAATCGAAATCGAAATCGAAAAAGTCCGCCGAAAAGTAATTCAATGACGGAAAGTGATAGATACCATTATGTAATAAGAATTTCTGTATAATTTCATCCTGATGAGAAATAAAAGAATGATGGACGTTTTTTAGATTGTTGGTAATTAATTCCTCGTTATCTATTATGTTTGAGTTTTTAGAATTTTTGCTATAAGTGTTTTTACGTTGGATTTGTTTTAGTATTGTGTTAGGATTAATATGTATGTATATAATCGACCAACCATGACGCAGTTTAATTAAATAAAATCTTAATATCAAAATTAACATGGAATTTTATTCATTTACTAATTTTTTTTTTCAAAAATTACGTTTGTAAGTTTAATACGCACGATCTCAATAACGTAGCGGGGAAAATAAGTATACAGAATATTGTACATTAGTATACAGAAAAGTTCATTTAAGTTTAGTTTTACAGTGTAAAGTGCTTTAAAATAACAATCATATGAAATGTATATATGACTTAATAGTTGACTGTAACTGAATAAAACATTCTAAGTAATATACAGAGCGTTTTTACAGTGATGTATTGTTTTTCTTCGCCTATATATGTAAATTTATATATGCGTATGTAATCACAAAGATTTTGAATGTATTAATAGTTGGATAGAAATTTTGACTACAGTCTATATAATTATGTATATTGATCTACATACTTGATACTATTTTTTATAATTACGAGAGCGTTTCTTTTCCCTCTGATTTCAAATTTCGACATTAATACCTTACGAACGACACAATTACGTTAATAAATATTTTCGCAATGAATTTAATGTACAACTTTATTCAATTTGTCAAAAGCAAAAGCAAGTGAATTTATTGATGCCCGGACTGTGCTAATCTTTTATGTAAGATATGTGTACGTATATAATCAACAAAAGTATATCAAAGTTTAGGCTCGAAAAGTGTGTAATTAAAACAAAAATCTAGAATGACCTACTTAGTTAAACAACCTCAGGTACATTGTGTTTATTTCTGAAACATTAAGGTGTAATTGTAAAGGAATGAACAAACTTTTCTATTTATAATTTTATATACGTCAAAAGATTTTCAAATATTGCGTTCAATTGTAAGAAAGTGGAATGAAATTTTAATCTTCCGGTTCGTACCTAGATGGCGCAAGAAAACGTAAAAGCAACGTTCGGAATTTTCGTAAAGTTTTACTATGTAAATATTGTTAATTAACATCGAACACCTTAATGCTTCAAAATAATAAGCGAGTTACGACGAAGAATAATGTTTTTTTTTATTAGTGCCTCGGAGTACACGATAAGACCTCGATTATTCGAATGACAATAGCAGTGATCTTGTGAAACGTTAAAAAAATATACAGTAGAGCTGAGAAAAACCGGGAAAACACGTTATATGATTATTTGTTCCTTCTACGCATAATCGAGATCCTACTCTGTATTTGAAAGTAAACAATGGTATGTCATAATTTACAATTATTATAAACAATTGTAAACATGTATTGTTTTAAAGTGTAAATATATGTAAATATAAGTTGCTCGAATATGAAAACGAATGGAAATCGACTTGAAATATTATTTACATTGGCTCAGTTATCGATAATACTGTATTCGCGTTTCGTTCAGTTTATTAACGAAAAGTTATTAAAAGTGTAGGAATAGCATGGAAATTTTTCTTTTCTTTTTATCGTTTTGGTCGTTTCTCTTTTTTCTATCATTGAAAAAAAGTAATGGGTATACATATGTATTATATGTATGTACATAAGTTATCCATGCATCGAAGAAAATTCCATTTCGCGATTACATATTAAAATAATGTAATTTCTTAGATGATACTTACAACTTACTAAAATCTTTGTGCACTATAATAATGAGGACGCGGTTTTTACATGAACATTGTATTGTCTACTTACAGTATATATAATTCCACACTCGTGTAAGATGATAATTTTGATATTCATTCTTTTTCACACCGAATACACGAGTAATCGAAGTTTTAACCCTTATGCATCGTTTAAATAATAATTAATTACAAAGTATACACATATACTTTTCTTCTGTTAGTAATTAAAATTCATATTTTGCAGTATAATAAATGCATGGAAAGTAATGTAAAAATTTCAGCGGCTGTACATAGTAATTATCTGTTCTACATCATCTCTTACACTTTTGACACAGATATAGTAATTAATAATTTATAACATCGAGTCTGGTCTTTGAGAAAGCTTTATATTTAACGAATTTTCTTGTGCATCAGGGTTAAACTCTTTAATATGCCTAGTACCATAGATTTTCCAAAAGTGTATCAATTTTCTACATTATTAACACACCTTAGTCTATAGAAAAGGAGATGATCTTACGCTTTTCGAGGAACGTTCATTTAGTTGGACGTTGAAGTATAGCAGATTCTCTATTATTCTTCATTGTTCGTTACACAGCTATTGATAGCAAAAAAAAGAAAAAAAAAAGGAATAATGAAGATTCTATTGTACCCTCGTATACAATATGTACAGTAAAAAGCAATCGGCGGTGAAATGCATCACACTTTTAAAGTTTCAGATAATCGCACAACATCAAGATGGCGACAGATAAGGTATAGTTATAATCGAGCGTTTTCTTTACGGTAACTAGAAACAGATAGTGTACAAGAAGTGATAATCATCAATTACAGAGGCGATTGGATTAATTGGTCAGCTGATCGAGTGGATACGATGTAAGTAACTTTACAAACGAGTTGACTAGAAATCCTTCCATTCTCAACTTTCGTACATCCATCTGTCTTTTCCAGAATAACTATAAGTTTCTGGCTTGGTTTTTATCCAAATGTTCATCGAACAGGACGCGGAGAATCACCTCTATAATCCATGAGCGTTTCTTTCTTAGCATCCCTGTATTGTACAGAGGCGGGGATAAAGGAATTATCGATACAATATGTTTTTTCCTCTTTCTAAAGATCAATCGACTACGATCGATTGACTCGTAACGCTCGTAAGAACCTTCGAATCCTCTCGATTCGTCTTTCAGACGTCGCGCTGAATGCAACGTGCATTGTTGCAGGGAAAATAGTCGCTGGACTTTATTGGAATCGGATCATCCGGTATTTACTATAGCACCGAGTCCATGTCTTTTTTGCTCCATCCGTTTTGCCCGCTGGACGTTCTGGACATCTGACTAGGGCTCCTGACAGGACTTCTCGCAGGATAATAGACGCAAGGACCCGGACTTGCGGGTCTACCGCTGATTTTCAAGCTTCGTCGGGTGCTACCGTTCGGTACGTTGTTGTTCCTGATCGTACTCGATCTGTTAAGGTGATAATTTCTTATTGAATTTCTAGGTTCTAAGTTGGTCATGTTGGTGACGATCGACTCGTCGTACGTCTGGAATTCCGGGCTGTCCCTTCCTGGACCGAACAGATTCGAGCTGCAGAACAATTTCAGGAATATCCTCTTAAACTTCCTGCCGAAGATCACGTAGATGATGAAATTGATGCTGCTGTTGATCGTGACTAGAAGATTGCCGGTCTCTACCAGCCAAAGGGGTGGATCGGTGACAAACGAGGTCTCGTGAATGTTCGAGGCGAGTGGAAGGATGTTACAGATCAGAAAAACGATCACCACGCAGAGTAACATCGTCGCCAGACCGATCTCGCGTCTTTGATGCCGGGACAGCTGTTGCAGATCTCTGTTCGCTTTTCTCACCTGAAATATCGAAGAGCATACAGGATCATTATTCTCTTGTACGTTTCCAATTTGTTACGCGATCCGCGTATTATTTCAAGGGAAGCAATAAACACGCGGGTAACGCGAGCTTATTCAAGCGATTCCAGGCGTAGTATATCTTTATCTCGAGACACACGTGTTTCCGCTTTTACGTTATCTCGTTGCTTTTTCCTCGAAACGATTGTGCAGCTTCCACCGACGTGTATCGAGCAGAATTTTAGTCCGCCAACTATTTTTTACGTTCATTTTCACTGCGCCAGTGGATTTATCCGAAATACCAAACGCAAAACATATCCTTCGAATAGAACGACGAGAAATACGATTGGACATGAGAGTAAAAAGTTGTCCTTCCTCCTTAATACCACCGTTGGACTTTCAAAATTAAACGTAGTAAGCGCGGTTGACGATCCACAGAAAATACTCGACGTAGTTAGATGTTTTCTCTTGAAAACTGATAAGGGTACGAAGAATTTTTGCGGATATTTCGAGTTAACTTAATACACCATTATTTGCATTTCATTTCGATTTTCGAGCGTTCCTTGTATCTACTCTACAGAATAAACTGTTTACAGTATCGCGAGAAGAGGGTTAAAGAGAATAAAGGAGGAAAAAGAGGAAGAAGAAAATAGGAGAGAAATAGTAGTTGGGTGACTCGCTAGGAGATGCAGTTTATTCCCAGCGGGATCGTTTTTCGCGACGATACGAAGGGAAATTCTTAGGTGAACCACGGGAGATTGTGCGAAGCTGCGCGAAGATTTATTTGCCAAAACGCCATTTAGGAAATTGGTATCCCGTCTAGGTGAGTTGGCGAAACGGCTCGCATAAATTTCGTTATGTACTTTGATCGTAATAAAAGCATGTTCTGATCCTAAAGAAAAGAAACGTATGCAGAAATCACGGTTAAGTTATCTTGCTTACCCTTCGATAGATGGCCGCGTTGAAGATCACCAGAGCGAGGAACGGAAACAGATAACAAATGAAGAAGTACATCCAGTGGACGTAAAGGGTGACATACAAGTTGCTGTTTCTTAAGTCCGCCGGACGCAGGCAGTATATTGTTACTTTGTACTTCCAGTGTGTCTCCGGGTAGACTTCTACCTCCCAAAATCTGTGGAAAGTGCGGTACAAAGGTACGTTAGAAATTTTGTGAAATATAACTCGCTTGAAAAGTTTTATAAATCGTGGGAGAAAAAATGAAACGATTGAGAGGTTCATTTTTTCTTTTGCAACAACACCTAACAGCATGGTCGATTATCAAAACTTTCATCTGGTCTATCATGTAAGAGGATTACTCACTTGGGTAAATTGTAAATAAAAGTGAATATCACGATAACCAGCACAGCTAGTTGAGCCCTTCCGTACGTACAGAAGGACCTAGCTTTCAGGGGATGACACACTGCGATATACCTCTCTAACGTCACTGTTAAAGTCAGATATACAGTTGCTATTTGCGCCATACAGGACAACGGGTACAAGAATCGTACTATCTTTGGATAGATAATGAATTTGTAGTTGAACAATAGGCCGGTGTATCCGTAAATCGCTGGTAAGCCGTAAATCAATACCTGAAAATGCCGATAGTTTTTCATCAATAATTTCATGCCGATGAAAAAGACGACGCGATAGTTACTTCCACTTACCGAACTGATGATCAACACTGTATCACATCTGGCGAGCCCAATTAAGAGGTAATTAATCGACGATTTCATTTGCGGCCTCGAGAGGATGATCATCGAGATCGCGTTGCCAAATATCCCGAAAATACTGACCAAGTTTATTAGAACCCCGTAGATAATGAAATCGAAGAGACCGGTCGAATTGATTTCCTCTTTGCACTCGAACCGTTTCACTAAATTCTCGTTAATCGATGAATTATCCAATAATTCACCAGCATCGTAGTAACTGGTCGCGTTAAAGATTTCGAAGCTTGTTTCCATTATTTTAGGCTACCTTCTTCTCGTCTTTTCGACGATATCGTATCGTCTTCATTAGCCTCTTCTTCTTTATCGTTTTTGTTCCGTGCTTACGTTACCATTTCTACGTATCGATCGAGAATCGTTTCCATTTAAACCCAATTCTTTGTGTTCATTGTACCTTAGAGATTCTTCGGGAAAAAAATAAAATGAAAAGAAAAATTGTTTAATATCCTTCGTTGTATTTCGATTCGACTCTCACTACCTTTCAACCCTGTGAGAGCCGAGCAGGAACAATTTCGGTACCATGACGTACAGAGATCTTATCGACGTTTTAAAGTGCTATCTCGTTTCCTCTGTCTCAGCTCTTTTCTTAAACGCCACCGAGTCGACTTCAATTTGCCTAATCTCGATGGAAGTTTCGAAAGCTTTCCGTACGTACATCTGCAATATATCGGGATTTCGTAGTAACTGGTAATTTCTTTCCTTCTTTGGCTTCTTTTTCTGAAAATCTGTAATTAGAAATAATTTATAATTATTATGCAAAATAATATTGCATTTCAAATAACAGTATACAACTATCTGTGTTTAACGTTTACGTTAAGTCATGTTGCGCGCATTTAAAATATGCCGCCAGATCGATATATCGATTGCGGATCGTTCGTTCGATTATCGGTGGTGGGGAGGTTGGTGAACGCTGCGAAGATAACAATGTGGCGCGAATTCGTGTCGGAGCCGGTCTCGTTAACCTACGCGTCTTGTAAACATAAATACGGAGAGGACAAGCGTTCGCGAATGATTTAAAGCATCCGTGGTTCAGTGATTCAGTGACTTTCGTACCGTACACACGTCGGTAAGAGTTTCGGTCGTCGAAATACGAAACGTGGAAAGTGGAAAAAACTGACGACGCGCACGAACGAGGAACAGTGTTTTACATCGAGGACATTGAAGCGTTTGCTGTTTGCTGCTGTGCATCGTTCGTACCAATCGAATTAGGAAGCTGTGTCGTTTCTACAGTTCCGGTAAGTCGGAAATCTGAAAATTTTTCGTATACGATACACGTGGTACGTACATAAAGCATGCTTGTGCGTAACACGCCAACTAAACAAAATGGCCGACTCAGCTTTTTTAGTTTCGAATTATAGAATTTAATAAGCGTGCATCGAACGTCGATAGGATTTACATGTACGTTTTGACGAGCGTAATATCGAGGCGAAATTAATTATTGGAAACGTGTTGGCGAATCGAAAAGATGTTAATTCTATCGGACAATTTGCTTCGTCTGCCGTTCGCGTCGTTTCGTGCGTTGATTGGCATGTTTCAACCTGTCGTTAATTTGCCCTTTCCCTAATTTCCGCGTCATCGGTTTTCTACTCGTGACTAAACCGTGATTTCTGTGTCTGTGTACGTAACCGTGTGATTCAACGTATCGATGTTACCTTTGTTTTCGATCGACGCTGTCAAGCGCCATTTAAATTCGAACAATGTCGATCGAGGTTCAGTTTAGGTAACCTATACGTGAAAAAAGTTGAACGATCGAGACACCTTTGTCTGTCGATATTTTTCAAGTCACGTGGGATTTAAAAACTTGCCACGTTATTGGCACCCTGATCAAAATGAATCGACGAATCGTAAAGCTTTTATCACCGTAATGTTCTTTGCATGATATAGGAAAATTCTCTTGAAATATAATGTCACTTTTTCCGCTCGGAAGGAAAACCCATAAACCAGATCAGACCATCGAGCGTATTTGCCACTGGAAAAAAAAAACAATACGTTTCATGTTCGATCATAGAGTAGGGAAGAACAAAAGGAAAACGAGAAAAGTTTTTAAAGCAGGAAGGTTTCGAAATCACCTAGGAAATTTAACTTTGTCGCATTTTTCTCACGAGCGCGATGCATGAACGAAAGTTTCATTGGCAGCATTTACGTTCCCAATTAAACTTTTCGCGAAGCAGCTGTGCGTCGCTGTTAAGTTTCGTTCCAGCGAACTTCCTGTTTCCTGTCGTACGGATAAATTGTCTGCAATAGCCGAGAATCGTTTAAATGTTTCTACTCGTGATTCAGACGTTTTCGTTAATTTGTATAGCTCCTTACTGTTCACTGTCGAACCTGTTTTCGGGAATTTCCCTTATCCGAACGCTTTGTTGCTCGAAACTTTCTTATCTCAGACCAATGTTTACGTCCTACACGATTCGGGAAACATTGTAATCCGGTCACGCAAAGTTGCAGACGAAGACGAGCGGTAGCGAACGATTAAACGGGAAATTTTATTATTCGAGTTACGAGAACAGTAGCTACGGTTCAGAAACGGTTACATAGCGTAGAGATTTAAAAAAATCTTTTCCAAGTTAATACATTTCTCCTGTAAAGACGTTGAAAGTGGTCTTTTAGAAGAGGATCTTCTGAAAAATCTGCTTTTATCCGTAAGATCGCTCGCTTATTCCAGCGGGCAAAAAGTTTTACGCGTTACTTCTGGACTGTTTTGCTAGGATATAGATACAACGGGCGTAAGGTGGTGGGTGTAGTCGCTAACCCACTCAGATTAGTTTTTTCCCAATATCAACATTCCTTACGCCGATAACGAGTCAAATATCGGGTCTTCCATACCCGAAAACGATGATTGTCAAGCCCATGAATGGACAGTTTATCCAAATGGCTGCTAGTGATTGGATTTATTTTTTAGCACAATTTGCACCCTTTAACACCGCCGATACAAGCAAAAGCTTGGGAACGGCAGAGCGGGTTATGAACCCCACAAGGCTCACTTTTCGACAATAACGTTAATTTACGAGTTGTTAGACAATTTGTCCTTTAGACCCTCTCCCACCCCCGGTTACGTTCCGTTACGAATTAGCAAAGAAATTTATTTTTATAATAATCGTAGCTCGTTTATCTTAAGCTTAACTGCGCTTACTCACGCAAAACTGTTGCTGACTCGGTGAAATTGAATTATGTAGCGAGGTTTTCACGATTAAACATGTGCAAATGTATCCGCGAATCGGTTCTCGAAATTAGTGAATATCTCGAATATCTCGATCGATTGTTAGAGACGCGAAAACAATACGTTACATGCCAGAAAAGAAACAAGTTTTCTTCGATGTCACCTTCGGAGGGACTGTTAAATGGTATCGTTGCACCCACGGGTGTTTCCGCAAGACATAGTTTGATACGAAGTGCAAAGTTGTTCGCTACGTGTACAACAAATATCTCTACTTTTCCAACTCTTTGGGTTGAAACTCATTTATCTCTAGCGTGGTCCCGAGGGCAGCTCCTTCCGTAAGAGGGTCTAAAAGAGGGCATCGAATTTTGGAGAGAATAAAGAAAGCAATAGAATTCTAATGAAAATAGAAATTTGAAATTACGATTCGACCGCGTTACAAATGCAATTTAGATATTTAAGGTTCGAATTATAAGCTACACCGCAAATATAATTGGATATTATTAGCGAAAGGGGTTAATGGGGTTAAAGGAGTATAGGATATCGTCGGTACGCATAGCGTGTTAACGCGAGAACAAGATTTACCAGTATTACGTAGAAGTCATCTTCTATAAATATTCGTTAGACGTAGTCTCACCTTCGAAGTGGCCAAAGAATAGCCACGAAGATGATCGTCATTATCGCGTAAAGAGTTGCCAGAGTTGCAGAAATTTTTCGTGGAATATCTGGTTAAATTCGAATCGCGTACTGTTACTACGTTGTCGTCGCGAACATGGTGCATTAAACAGGCCACGGTAACGATGATTAAGACTAACGACTGCGTACAATGTTGCTTGAATTAGAGGTTTAATGATAATGACCCGTTACCTCGGTTTCATACATGAGAAAACTGAGTCGATATGCATTTATCTACAAATCAGTATGCATCAGAATACTGAAACGAATCAATTTCACGTTACTTATGTTATTAGCCAACCCGTATCTAAGATTGAAAATCTTGAGAACGAGGCTGTAGCATTTAGACTTTCTGTCACTTTTGTACAGACCAAACGGTAAGAGTTATCGAAGAAATTCTTACGCCATTGTGTTTAATGGGTCAAAATCTCAATAAATTGAGAATTTTGTTTTCTTCTTTTTTTACCACTTCCAGTCTGACTGGAAATGGCCGAAAAAGGGTTGGCGAATCTCGCTCTAGTTCACTTTAGCTTGTTAGAAAAGTATTATCTAACGGAGCAGGAAACAAAAGTAAGAGAAAGTTTCAAGAGTGCTACCTTAGTTTACCGCGAGAAAAACGTAATTGTTAAGAAAAGTTCAGGATTGTTGCGTGTAGTAAGTTGAAGCGTAGGCGTGATAACCTCGATGCAATAACGAGATCGATAATTTGAACCGGGACGGCGAACCGAGGCTGTTATCGTGATTAATGAATGAGTTATAATTACGGGAAGGAGACTAATAAAGTCGTTAAGACATTGGCCGCCTTAAATTATCGTTCTTACGTCTGTTGGTGCGTTAACTCTGATATCTCTCCGCGTAAGCAATCGACAATTTCATCGATTTTTAGTTTCATATATGAAAATTTACTGCCCTATTAATTTGATTACATCGCGAGAACGATAATTTCACAGGGCAGTTGGAATATTATTCAGTTATCGTGAAATAATATTTATCAAAACGATAGCGACATCAATTTTAAGTGCTGTCCCTTGTGGTCTGTTTAGAAAGAAATTTTTCCCCTTTTCCCTTTTTTTATTAAGTCCCTTGGGAAAATAATTCATCGTTAAGAGGTCTTGAAAATCGATACCATTCATACAGGGTGTCTTTCAAAGTGCTGCTTCCTTTCGCGATCTGTAGCTTCCTTTATTTTAGATATAAACGATTGAAAATAAATCGCAAACGGGGGAAACGATAACGAATGATTAGCATCGTGTGACAGGAAAGAGTAAAGTGAAATGTTCGATAATTAGAATTCTGTTTCGGTCTATAAATTTCAATGGCGATTCTGTATCTCTGTACCGTCACGAAACAATCTTCGATAAATTGGATCCGCGTGACAGCTCTTTAATGAATTACGGTTACGCGACCTTGTTGCTTGATGAGTTTTATCATTTAGCTGATTGGGATGGAAGCTCAAAGAGATTATTGACTTTTAAAACAGTTATACCGCAATGAAATATAACCGTGATAAAAGCGATTCCGTTGGATTCTGCATTGCAAGATGGTTAAACGAATATACCTGCAGGGTGAAATTGTTCGAAAGAGCCACCTTTCTTAATAATACAGTAGGGTGATCAAATTATTAGAGCATTGGTATGAAAAATGGATATTTATGTAAAATCAATTTATACGAGTGGCTCGAATAATTTGATCACCCACTGTAAATGTCTCCCTGAGATTTTCCCCCTGAAAATGTAGTCCGACAGTTTTATAGAATCGGGGTAAGATATTACTATTTGAATATACGCTTTATATATTTCGACGATAATAATTTAACACGGTGCATGAAACAAAAGGAGCCCATTGAATGGACTTTGATAAATCGGTGGCTCGGTGTCGAGGCTAGTGGTCTGGTTG